CGTTGTCGCGCGTTTGACAGGGGGATTAGCTACTTCGAAAATTCCGTGCCCAAACAAGCAGTGTGATTCGTCATATAATTAACGTGTGTTGAAATCATGACACAAATTCACCGAGCCAGAAACGTCTTGTGTGAATAAAGCGCCGAGATTTTCGTCACTTTTTCCGTCTTTCCGCCTTTCTCGGCGCGATCCCTCTTCCGTCCCTCTCCCATGCTGCTTCTCCATCTCGTTTATTCCCATTCGTTCGCACGAGAAGGGTTTTGACTTTGTTTACAACGCGACGTAGTATTTTATCTTCGTCATGTGAGATCGCGAGATCGTGCGGATGTCTATTATTAGAGCTTTTGTTTTGGTGCAACGACACCGATTCGTCTCAGGAGATTGTAGAGTGACACAATCCTCGGAACGACTCGGCAAAATCTTATCATTTACGTTCACCAAAAGTGTTCGAGCGATTTCTGTTCTTAGAATACGTCGTCGTCATTGAATGAGCGAGCTTTAAGCAATATTGTGAAATTCGATGACTATTTACTTTTGTATAAAAATAAATAAGAATGTTTTTTATGAAGCATTGTTAAACGGCTGTAATATAATGCTAGTTATATACTTTATCGAATAGTTTTATGGCATTTATCTTTAATTGTGCAATAGAAAAAACTCAATAACCATAAGTATTTAGTTTACATTTAATTCAATATTATACTTTTATTGATAGGGTAGGAGCAGAGAGCCCTTGCAGCGACATGAAGCGCGCAGCTGCAAAGAAGCTCATTGAACGTTACTTTTACCAACTTACAGATGGATGTGGCAATCCTCATTGTGACAATCAGCATTGTGCCTCCAGTGGCAAGGTGATTTTAAGATTCATGTGTTTGCTTGTAATTTATTTATAAGAGGAATTAAACAATATTCGCTTTATTTTATACTAGGTAACTAATCTTACTCCAAATCAAGCAGCTGCTCAAGCGATACAATTATTTTCACAAGAAGCAAGACTTTGTGATGGTACGCAACCCAGTAAAGTTGCTCGAACTACGATAGAACCTGGACAGACGTCATTAGCTAAAAGTCTACCTGTAAAAAGCGTTAATTCTACAAGCTCTGATGAAGGTATTTAGTTAATTTAGTTATTAGTTGCTCATCCTTAAAGCAGAATAACTAATTATCATTATAACAAGATTATGCAAGAATAAATTAAAATTTGATTAATGCATATATAATTCATTAATGCATAAATTTAACATATTCTTGTTTCTCATTAGGAAAACAAGAGTCATTTCTGACAGAAGCTATGCTTCTGGATATTATAGAAAAATGTAAAGCAGAAGATTCGTATTCTTTATTAATTCGTACTTTGGGAGAAGTATTTTCCTCTGGAAAGGCGTTAAGTCTCAGTTTTCAGAAAACTGAGAAAAATAATTCTCCTTTGACGGCACTTCTTGAACGAGCACCAGATACTCTATTAAGGCCACCCGGAGATTTGAATAAGGAGGCAGTGCGGTCTCTTCAAGGAGAAGATAAAGAAGAGGATAGCAGTGATCCATCACCCACAGTTCCTAACAATGACGATACTAGTGTTGATTTACCATCAGTTCGTAGAGCTTTTGAAGCACTTTGGTCCCTGCCAGGTGTGAAAAAATACAATCTAAATGTTACTTTAACATGGACATTTTTATTGGTGGCTTACTGATTAAAACAAATATTTTATCCACTTAATTAGGTGAAGTATTCGAGTCAGCTCTGGTCAATGCGCTAGTCACTTTGGCGGATGATATAGAATTAGATCTGAGAGTATTTCGTATGGTACGCTGGGATAGTATGGATAGTTTGTTAAATGTATTTCTTATTGTTTTTGAAATTCCAATGCTCGGGAATAGTGAATACTTGGAATTGGCTCTCCACATGTTGTGTAAAGCGTTGAGCTGTGTACCAGTATTGGCTCAAGCAAAATTGGCACGCGTATGGGCAAAACATTGCAAATCGCGGCTCCCAAGCCTTCTGCAAGCGCTCCAAGAACTTATAACAGTCAAGGTGCAGTTTCTTAATTTTACTATAGCATTTATTGCATTAACATGAACGTCAAAACAATTATATCATTTTATTTCTTGATTGTAGAACAAAAGATTTGATATCATGTTACAGGTAATAGGAGGATCTTTCTCACGTGATTATTGCGTCCAAGATGCGGACACTATTACCGCGCCTACAAAGGTTATGAAAATTCTGTATTATGCGAGTATGTTGGCTGGTGAATTAGACCCTCCTGAATTAACATTAGGCGATGAAGGTGAATCAACTGGTAGTGACAAAACTGCTTCACGATCAACAATATCAGGACAAATTCCTCAGGTATCGTTTTTTGTTGATATATTCAACCTAGTGTATATATCTACATACATTATTGTCTGTTGTATATGTTTAGTAATAAAAAAATATTTCAGGATCCCCTAGCAACAGAATTAGGAATTACCGCATTAGATGCACGTAAACCATTCATACCATTTACTGATTTTTACAATGAACCGCTTAGTGATGCCATAGAAATGGACAAAGATTTCGCTTATTACAAGAGCGAAGAGCCAATGAAATTTAGTTTTATGAATTATGCTTTTATTCTTACGCCGGCCACTAAAACTTTGGGCTTATATTATGATAATCGTATCAGAATGTATAGTGAACGACGTATGAGCTTTTTGCAGACCGTTGTGGGTCAACCTACTAATCCATATCTCAGATTAAAGGTCTGTTGATTTAATAGGAAAATATTTAATAGGAAAAAATAAAATGATTGGTTTTGAAAAATTAAATATAAATTTTATATTATTTTTTTATTCAAACAGGTGCGAAGAGATCATTTAATAGATGACGCATTGGTAGAATTGGAAATGGTAGCAATGGAAAATCCGTCTGATTTGAAAAAGCAATTGGTTGTCGAATTTGAGGGAGAACAAGGTGTCGATGAAGGCGGCGTATCTAAAGAATTCTTTCAACTAGTCGTTGAAGAAATTTTTAATCCTGATTACGGCATGTTCACTACACAGGTGAGAATTTGTATGAGTGCTTATACACCTTTTTTGTATTATTTATTTCAGTTTTAGCGTGTTTAATGTTTGATATATATATCATCAAATATATAATTTATTTTTATAAGACATATGTAAAACAAAAATTATCGTTTTATTATAGGAAGACACGCAAATGACGTGGTTTAATCCAACGTCATTTGAAAGTGACGCACAATTTACATTAATAGGCATTGTTCTTGGCTTAGCGATTTATAATAATGTAATTTTGGACGTACGTTTTCCAATGGTGGTTTATAGAAAATTGCTAGGCAGAAAAGGTGTTTTCCCCGATTTGGAAGATTGGAGTCCAACATTATATCGAACAATGAAAGAATTAATGGAATACACGGCAGATGACATGCCAGAGACATTTATGCAAACTTTCCGAGTGGGTTACAGGTAAATTTTTGGTAAGCTCAAAGCATATATAAATTTTTATTATATCTTTTTATTGTATCTTTTCTATAGAGATGTATTTGGATCATTATCGTTTCACGAGCTCAAAGAAAATGGTGATGAGTTATACGTCACGCAGGAAAATAAAAAGAATTTGCCGATCTTTATGCGGATTTTTTGCTTAACAAATCTGTGGAGAGACAATTTAATGCCTTCAGACGTGGCTTCCAGATGGTTACGGATGAGAGCCCGCTCGCATTACTCTTCAGACCCGAAGAGATTGAACAGGTACCAATCATTGATATGACATAAAGGATACATTATATCTAATGATTATTATTCTATTATTTAACATGCACGTAGCTTGTTTGCGGAAGCAAAATATTTGATTTCGCCGAGCTTGAAGCAGCTACAGAATACGAAGGTGGTTATACCGTGGATAGCGAAGCAGTACGCAACTTTTGGCGCGTAGCGCATTCCTTGCCACCAGAAAGTCAACGAAGGCTTCTTCAATTCACCACGGGTAGCGACCGGGTACCTGTCGGAGGTCTTTCAAGACTCAAAATGGTCATTGCCAGACACGGTCCCGATTCTGACAGGTAATATTTACATTACATCGGTTATTTAATTACTCATTATACTCATTAATTATTTAATTATATTTTCAGATTGCCAATAGCACACACATGCTTTAATGTGTTATTATTGCCGGATTATAGTACAATAGAGAAACTGCAAGATCGCTTATTGAAAGCAATCAATTATTCAAAAGGTTTTGGCATGTTATGAGCATGCCCCATCGCTCCTCTTTCTTCCACTGTCTTTCGAATGATTCGAAGTACACGATAAGACGCAATTAATTTCGTCATTTTATTCGTAGTTATGCCAGTCGGGAATATTTATCGTAATAATCTACAACTGTGCCAGTGCGCTTAAATGTGGAAGCTATTGCTTGTGCAATATGAATCGTCAAAAGGCTCCTAACGTTCTAAAAATTCCAACGAATCAAAGATCGAATCCTTTGTACAAAAAAAAGGCAGACGTTCTTGAAAAATGCTTTGAAATTATCCTTGCAGCACTGCAAGAATTGCTTGTATCATACTGTACTTTTTCTACTTAAAACATAGATAACGAAGATTGATTTCGTTGGCCATTCCGAAACGATTGAGGGAAGAAGTGCAAGAGACATTTCAAAACGCACGACTACAATAAGTGTAAAAAGCAAGTAAAACCGAACTGCATAGACATAAATATGTAACTTTAGCAAAACAGTCGATATAAACAGGATGCGTTTTGGGAACTCAATGGTTGCATTCGTTATGATTTTATTTCAAAATAAATTTTATTTATTGATGAATTATAACATTTATTACAATTATATTAAATACTTTCTTTTATATCAAAAGAATTATTAATGTAAGTATCATAATTTATCATTAAATTTATATGTTTACAATACAAATTTTTATTAATATATTTACAACGCATACAAGTTTGCTATTACAAAATAAAACTTATTGTAAAATATTTTATTGGATGTATTTATAGTAATGTGATTTATGTAACAAATTTTATAACAATTATGTAAGATTTAACTAGTTAAATAACTCTGTAGAGTAAAATTGTATAAAAGATATTTGCTTTTTTTTATTGATATACTTATCAATTTCGTAGATAAGATAAAAAAAGATAAGAGAAAGGCTTTTGTATAAAGTTGTTTAAAGAAAGTTGTCGTTCTATTTGGATATACCGTTTAGCTTCCTAAACGCATCTATTGCTGTAAAGCCGAAAACAACCCTTACATAAAACACATTGAGCTAGTGTCACTCTGAACAGACTTCTTTTCTTTGTAAAGTAAAGCGAGAAATAGTGGCGCTTTTGTATGTACTTTTCTTTCAATTTTTAAACATTTTTCTCATGTATGTCACGTCACATCGCGATGGTGACTAAGTAGTATTGAATAGAAATTGGATTTGTATAAACGTTTATAATAGGCAGCGTTCTTTAACGGCTGCCAGATACTGTCAGTCGTTTTATTGTTATTCACGTGACAATAAAGCTCTTAAAAAAGAAAAATAAATAAATACCTCTCCGTTACTAGCTTTACAGAAAGTCAAGTAAGTCTATTATTTTTTCTACAATTCTACGTTTTCAACAATTGCGAAATAGATGTTTGCTTTTGAAAAAATTGTCAATTATCGATACATTGTGATAAGAAATAGCGAGAATAAGAATATGCATCTTTTGAATATGCATTCTTTTTTCATAATTTGTTCAAGAATATAAGAATATTTAAAATTCGATTCGCGAATTATTTATTCCTACACAACTGTAGCACAGTAAAAGCGCTTGATTGGCCGATTAGGACAAAGAATTTTAATGACCAATCAAAAAATGCTTCAAAGGATTTGTAACATTAAATGAATTGCACTTTTATAGGACCAGGTGGACCAACATTGAGTAACTAATTTCGTTGGCAACTATATATTTGTCTCTTTCGAATAAGTTCTGAAAAAGAGATGAAGATTATTAACGAGATTATCTAACGTTAAAAACGAAAAAAAATTGGCCTTTATTATTTAGCCTGTGTTTCGATATTCACTGCCAGTACTGAAAATATATAGTTCAGATCACGTATATTATAGATTTTCAGTACTGGCAATGAATTTCGAAACGCATCATTTGATGACTTCAAATATCTTTTCATGCGCAATACACTGAGACAGCAAAATTCGCTATTATTGGTTAGAAGTTCTGCCGCCATTGTGTCCTTTCAGTGTAGCAATTCGAGAAAATTTGAATACGTGATATTTTGCTATCTTAATATGTTGCGTATAAAAACTTAAATCTACTTGACCAGCTCAAATTTCCCAATTTGGGTAAAATAATCCAATCTGATGTGATCTTAATATGATCATCAAACATCAGTGACGTAGCTTCTGTCTCTTTTCATCACGTGCAGAATAAATAAAAATCATCATCAACAATCAAAATCAAGTCTAGGACTACGTTCGGAAACATCATTCACGTGTTCTCGTGTATCATTTTATGTTTGTCTAACATTCGAGGAACAACAAGGATAAAATGATACATAGAGTTACTTAGGTAATGTTTCCAATCAGTGTAAAAATCTGTGGAGATGTCACAGATATTTAAATCAAAATGAAAAACAGGACTGAAAGAATAGATTTATATTATTTCTAAACGGAAAATAGAAAGTTCTAATAAAATATATATTGTTCTAATCAAATATATGTCAGATATATGTCAAAAAGATATATGTTAAATCGTTTGCGAGACAAATTGTTTTCCACTCGACTCTTTCTGCTGATGCATGGCGGCTCATCTATATATTGCTGATAATATACTGAAATTGGACTTCCCCTCGCTTTCTCGAAGATTCTATACACGTATACATATAGTTAGTGTGTTGAGATGAAATCAGTGAAACGCTCTTTCGGATTTCTTTAGATTTTTAATATAAACATGACCTTTCTGTGCGTAAACAAGTAAAAAAAAAAAGAATAATAAAGAACAAACAGCAGTGCGATGGCGGATTTTGAATTTTAATTAAATGAAGATATTAATTTGGAAAGATCGTGAAATTGCGTCAGACAAGCCAACTCCATACAATAGGACATTTCTATACTGTCAACGATAAGCAAACGATCTTTGATTTGTATATAAAAGGGAGAAATTTGTATATAAAATATATAAAGTAAGCAAAAAAACAATATTTTACACGAGAAAAATAAATTTCTTATTATCAAAATATTATTGAGATTTTTTTAATTATTTTTCTAAATGATGTGAAGTAAATTAACTTACATAATTTATATATATTAACATAATAGTTTTTACATACAAAATTTTTATATCTCTCAATTACAGGATGTCTAAATCTGTAATTAATGTACTCCAAGAGCTTTCGCTTAAGCAAGGATTTATTCCTATATATAATTTTACAGAGAAGAAAAGTAATGAAAATAATTTGCAATTTATATGTAATGTATCTTGTAAGCAGTTCAAAACATTTGGTACAGGAAGTTCCAAAAAAGAAGCTAAGCATAATGCTGCAGAGAACATGTTGTCACTTTTGGACACAAATAATGAAATTTCATTACCAGCAGATTTTTCATTAGAGCATATTATCTCTAGTAATTTATCTCCAGTTAAAAATACGGTATTTACAAAAATATGCGAGACATCTTTGTCTCCACAATCAGTTCAGTCAGTTGATTGTAATTATGTTGGAATGCTACAAGTAAATTTCATAAGTTGCTTTTTAAATATTATTGATTAATAATTAATTACCAGAGTTATATAATATTTGCTCTATGCACAGGAGCTTTTTCAACGATTAAAAATCCCGGCAAACAACATTGAGTATCAAGTTGTCTCCGAAGAAGGACCATGTCACTTGAAAACTTTTACAATAGAAGTCAGCGTGGGATCATACAAAGAAAGGGGCTCAGCACAGTGCAAGAAAACTGCCAAACAAAAAGCTGCGAAAAATTTGCTATTGCATTTTAATCAAAACATAATTAGTCCAAATACGACTAATCAGATTATAACTAATCTAAATAAAGATAATCAAAAGACAGATAGTTTAAATGAAACTGATCAGAACACAGGCAATCTAGCTGTAACTGCTCAGAACATAGATGATTTAAACATAATGAAGTCAAAAAACGTAACTAATTCAAATATAACAATCAATAAAATAACTGAATTTAATATGAAAAGTCTTGAAAATGCCATACGAGAATTAGGCACAGGAATATTAGAATCTGTATCCAATCAATCAACTTTAGCAGTAGCGAAATTATCAGAGAAAGCAAAATCGTTTTATTTAGAATACACCAATCAAGAGTATAAGATGGACAGGCAGGATCCTTATGTTATTAATAATTTTCATACTTTATTCGAGAAAAATTATTCTAGTAAAATTTCTTATCGTATGAGAGAGAAAATGCAGAGTATAATAGATAAATACAATGATCAAATGGATTTGATACGTGAAATCAGACAAGATTTAGAGAAAGCATTACAAGTTAAGATAGAAGAAGTTAATGTAAAAACTGTAGACTCAACAAAATGCCACATAATATGTTTACGTTTGTTGTCGTCTCCTCGTATTACACAATTCGGCATGGGCGAAACTAAACTTAAAGCAGAATCACGTGCAATGTATAATCTTATGATGTCTATCTTGATACTTTTGAATGCTTGATTCTATATTTCATTTTCTATATTGATTTTATGTTTCTTCAGACATATAGAAATACACCAATGAATTTAAAGAATTAAAAAATTATGTATTAAAATATGAAAACAATTTATGATTATATTTGCTATTTTACTGTTAAATTATAAGTATGTTTATATCTTTATGTGAGATTATAAGATGTTAGTTTATCTAACTTTATTGTAATTTAAAAAGGAAATGCATGTAAGAGTATATATGTAAATAAATATAGAAGTTTTTAATAATGGAAGTTTATTCTAATAATTTTATTGAAAACAGAACTCTCACAAGTTTATTAATATTCTGTATATTGTCTTCTTATAATGGCTCCAATTTCCAGAGAAAGATTATTTCGAGTTTCGCGAATTAATAAGAGACAAGAAATTAAACAACGGGATGGCAGCACGACTGATAACATAAGATAGTCTGCGAAAAGGAGAAATAAAAAGGAATAATTTAGACGAAGGTGAGAGAATCAAATCTGAGAAACATTACACAGTTTAAAGAATACAATTAGCAAATGACAAATCATAGTAAAGGGGTTTTTTATCTATAGAAATACATTGTTGCTGCAAGAATTAAACGATTGGACTTCAGAAATGGATACATAATGATGAATCGACTTGCTCATAGCAAAAGGACAGTCAGAAATAATGTATGTTTTGATTGAAGTGATTACTTTGAGAAAAGTTCATTAATATATTTTTTTAAGAAGTTATAATTTAAATAATAATGGTTGGTGTTCTGTTAATGATATTAATGATATACTTTAAAACTTTACAGTAAACATTATTATTTAGTAGTCTTGTTGTAAAGAAGAGGATGTCCAATAAGAAATTAAGTAGATAAATAACAATTGAAATTAGCTTCAAGTTTATTTTTGGAGAGATATAGATTTATAGAAAATAAGAGAATCTAAATAGAGAATCTTGAAGTCAAAAATTAAACTCCTCGAAGCAGGGTTTCCTTAACTAGAATATTTTCTCGTTTCGAATTTCTCTTTGGAGAATTACACATTCAAGTGAACCGAATTTTCAGACCAGCTTGAAACATCTTTTCTTTAATTAAAGAGATGATATAATTGTTTTTTTGTTAAACGCACATTTTAAAAATTCAAATACATTTTTGCAGTCAGAGATTATAGTTGACTCGGGAATTTTATGATAAATAACAGAGTATTATGAAAGTTTCATACATCATGTTGACTTTCGAATGATCATCAATTCTGCGATTTTGCGCATGCGTTGTATGTCATTTGGTGCTATTTAGCGGCAGCTTCGCTTTATTCAGCTTTATTGTAGAACTGTTACGAGGTTCAGCGGCGACTAGTTTTGTATTTGTGAAGCGGTTATTGATATATTACTTAATTTACAAGAATGTCGGACTTACGCATTCTGGGCAAGCGATTAGGGCAACGCGCCGGTCAAGAAGCGATCGTGCTTGGCAAAATTACGGAGGTAAGAATATTTTAGGTTAAGTTCGATCATAGTTACCGGCTTGCCAAATAATAGAAATAATTTATCTCATATCTTATCATAGTAAATAATATTTATTATAAATTAATTTTAATATATGTCATTGATACATTCTAATAAAATTAATTGAAATTGAATAAATTTCTTCATTATTCAAAATGAAATATGCCGTTGAAAATTTAAGAAATCTGTTTTTTAAGAAGAGTAAGAGTCGTTTCTATACATCCTAATTAAAATGAATTTTTAAATATCTTTAATCCTTTCATTACGAGTGCCAAATATAAATGGCGTCCACGTGGTGATCCGTGTGTACGAGTGCTGTCGGTTTTTTCATGTTATAAATATAAAATCTACTTATTATGTCAGAGAAACGATTTTTTTTATTCAAGCACAATTGTTATTTAACACTTAAAAATGTGTATATACAAAAGCATGTCAAGGCATAAGACTTAAACCCGAACGCCGAAGACTGGCGTCGCACAATGTATACATGGTGTACACATGGTGTTCGGTTCAGCGGCAGGGCTCCGGAGTCGACCACTGTGATGAAAGGATTAAATAGAAGTCGCATATATAAGTATTGAAGTATCGAAATTTTTTAAGCGTTCTTTTGTAAAATCACATAATCTAACTTTACGTATCTTTTTCTTTAAAAGAGGATTACTAACAAATGTAATTTTTTTGTCTTCAGAAATGACTGGATTATCATTTAATGGATTAAATCGTTCGATTTTAGGAAATTATAATTTTACAAAAGTTACATGCAAAGTTGCAAAAGAATTAACTTTTTCTAACTCATATATAAAATTTTAAAATGAAAAAGATTTAAAGAGACATTGATTAAAATGTAGCTAAATATTCCTAAGGGAAAAAAATGAATCTAATGCAATGATCTAATAATCAAATCAAAAAAACATCAAAATAAGTAGCTTTGCCTATTATTGATTTTGTAATAATGTTCCTTTGTGAAATTTTACTTTGTTTTTTATAACAACATTGCTTTTGATAAATTTTTACATATAATTAATAACATTCATAAAGTACAGTTTGCATTTGGGCAATTTACAGAAAAGTTCAGATGGTATGAGTGCAGAGATAACAACAACAGATGATGCTCGAATTAATGTGACATTTCATGAGCCGCTCGACAGCAATGTATCAAATTATATAGAGGTGCGCGGTACAGTGAAATCAAGATCCACCATGTTCTCTAACAATTTTATATGCTTTCCTCCGGACATGATTAAAGATTTTGGTAAGTTAAACACTTTTTCACATCGTCAGTTTTTCTGACGAAAGCATCAATATTCTTAGCAAAAATATTTGCTGCAGATGCAAATAGCTACAACAAAATGGTGAATGTGCGCTACGCAATAGCTAATCAGTTAGAAGGAGTATTCAATGAAGATTAAAAGATGCACAAGCCCAAAGAGAGTTTTTCTGCAAATTGTTTACTCTGTTCCATTCTTTCTCATACTTTTCTTTTTACATTCTGCCAATTTGATATATATGTTTACTATAATAATAACAAGAAATGCTGCAATATAAAAAAGAGTATTCAAATATAAGCATTCCTTTGTCTATACATAAAATCAATCAAATTGGATTAGATACAAAACATGCGAAATTCTAGAACTAATAAAAATAAATCATCTCAGTAATGTACGTGTGTGTGTGTATATGAATATTTCAAAGTTTGGTATATAAAAGGATACTTATGTCACACTTGTATTACGTGTATAATCTAAAGATGAACAGCGACAATTGCAAGATGTTACAGGACATTCAGTATGTTGTCTGAAATATTAAATGCAAGAATTAATAGCATTGTAGATTTTCCATAATGTATTATATATTTATATGTTTTTTCTAATATTAATTATCCCAATTGTATTTTATTAATTTATATGTACAATACGATTTTATAGTCTTACCGAAACCACCGGGCTATGTGTTCGCTATGTCCACCGTGTTTACATGTTAAACACCACGAGAACCAACTACTGAATTCCGTAAGCTTGCTATTGCATTCCTCGTTCCTGCTGCCGCCAGGACTGGGAGCAGTTTGCAATCCACTGACCGTACCTATGTGCATCAAACATATTGCACAGCGTGGTAAAGGTTTGCGGCAATTCGGGCATGCTGTCATCTACCGAAAAAGGAAAAGAAATTATTAAAAAATATAAGATTGAAAAATCGAAATATTGAGAAATATTGAGAACTAAAATAGAAATCTACCTTCAATTTGTTAGGAGTACCGCCTAATCTACCAAACGGGACTCTCGTTCTACTTAATCCTTGCATGGAAGCTGATATGCTTTTGCCACAGAAATGACATGATACATGTATCTGCTGTGGCGGTTTGTCCTGTGGTGTTAAAGATCTCATAACAATGTCAAATTTGGCTCTTTGAAACCATAATTTCCACGCGTTCAAGAGATGTTTGTAACTGTAACAGTGATATAAATAATTAGAAAACGTAATTATCTGATAAATATTTATGAGAAAAATTTGATTATGTAAATTTGATTATGTTATACCTAGAAATCCATACTTGAACCTGATTCTCCTGAAGCAATTTTGGCGAAAAAGTTCTGATAGCAATAAGAGTACAGCTCTGAACGTCCGAGGTGATCTCCAAATATTTGCTCAATAATTGGATACTTTCTGTACTCGTACCTGAAGTATACCGATGCGTTAGAAATGAGCATGTAATTAACATTTATACAAATTACGAAAAATACAAAAACATTCGAGTCACACAACCTGTAACCAAGAAGCCTGCTAGATCTCCCTCTTCAATTACCTTCTGGGTTAGTCTTTTTAAGTACTCGTAGAGTTTATTATCCGATAAAAACATGAGAGCGAATGCTACTCGATCTTCAACAGCCATGCCGTTTTCATTCTGTGATATCAAGCTTGTTAAATATCTGGTTTTAGTCTTACAAAATCTTGATTTTGCATATTTATTATACTTACAAGTACGCTTTCATAGGAATCGTTATCCGCAGTCAAGAAACCGAATGTCGCTCTCAAATAAGGATCTGATAATTGAGATTTAGATTTCTGGCACGATTCTCTCCACAGCGTAGTACGCTCTTCGGAAAAACCTGATAGCGCCATAGCTACCATATTCAGAATAGTCGTTTGTGTCTTGCTTGCACCTCGATTCAAAATATCTATAGCTTGCCTTAGACAAAGATTGAATACTGCGAATGCGGCTGCTTTCGCGTATGCACCTTCCTTCTCTAATTTGTCTAGATACGCATTATCGTATGCGATGTTAGTTTCTCTATCAAATCGCAAACCGCACAGAAGAAGACTCCTTTCTCTGTCTAGCGATCTACGATCGAGCGAAATACAATACGAAATTAAATAGGCGAGCAAAATACATCATGAAATTAAATAGGCGTAGACAGCCACATTTTATTATTTTATTATTATTTTTATGCATTCAGATAATTGTTACCTGTAGACTTTCGTTACATAACCGGAACCTAAATCCGACCATGGGCGATGAATCACTTCTGATTTCAAGCCATTGCTTGGATTTTGATGCTCAAACTTCAAGACTGTCCTATGTAAAGGTTGGAAGCATTATGCTTACATATATATTTCATGAGGCGTTGTAACTTTACCTTACACCAGGATGCTTCACGTCAGGACTTTGTATAGTGCCGTCTTCTACTAAAGAACGACTTAGATACAACCATTGCCATAAATTTTTTAAAGTTGCGTTTTCGGCTACATCACCATTGTGAGCTAAATCCGACTGAAAACGTATATACATACAAGATATAATTAAACATAATTAAAAATAGAAGTAAAAAGAAGAATATATAAATGAATATATAAATAAAAACAAAATAAAAGTCAATAATTATAATATTAAAATATTTAAGGATAAATATGTTTTTATTAATTATAGTATTAAAATATATAAGGATAAATATGTTTTTAATAGATTTTCCCACTTACAAGTAAACCATATTCGAGCATAGCACGTCTCTTAGTTAAAACCGAGATATCATCCAACTCTTTGTAAACACTATCCTCGCTATGTATATACTTAAACGATTTAAAAGCACAATTCCACATCAGACACGATCGAGCTGACCAATTGAGCGTTATTCTCTCAGATACGGTGTAATCAGTCACGCCTAAGAAATAAGATCCAGTAATCTTGAATATTATTGTAACACAAAAAGATTATTCTAATGTCTATTTTTACTAATACAAGTTAACTTCAATCTTGATTTAAGTTTACTTTTTATCTTTTTCCAATTATTATAACTAAAAAAGATAAAGAGTAAATTAAACAGAAATGAAAGTTAATTTACATTGATAAAAATAGATAAGATAGGATTATCATCAAATACCTTGTTGTGATATTGCTAACAAACGATTCTCATCGGTCGGATGCCATGAAAAACTTATGGGACTATGCCACGGTGGTAAAACGACCCTTTCCAAGACACCTGGTTCAGTGTCGTCTATTCCGCAATATTGAATGTCAAAGAGATGCAAACCAACTATGAAATAAAGATAAATGTATATTCATGTTTAGCTTTGTCATTTTTGCGAAAGAGTTACATAAAGCATATTATTGAAGTTTAAAATTGTATACATGTTATACCTGAGTCTTTTTGTAATGTACCAATTAGATTCCGTCTAGTAGGACACCAGAGCACTTTTGTAACCTGTCGTTGTGGCATTATGGTAACTATTGGTTTCTCGAAACATCGAATATCCCATATTGTGATCAGATTATCAACGTGCGAAAGTAACTGATAATTATTATGAGGATTTACTGATAGATTATATATCGCTTTTGTAGGGGTAACATTTACCATCTTTGCAGAATCTAATAAAATTTAAAAGAATATGAATTTTACCAATAAATCATTGATCGTATCTTTTGAATATATACCTCTAAAGTCAATAACTTTTAACTGTTTGTTATTGACGCCGAGAGCCAAACATCTCGATTCATGCTTGAACCAAACAGCGGAATGTATTGTTTCTGATATGCCTGCTTCTACTATTGGTCGTTCCGAGCCTTTTGGACAATGAAGCACATCCCAAAGTAACACAGAGTGTTCCTTGCTATGTTTATCCAGACCAGACATGATCAGGTGAGTTTCCATAGGATTCCATGCAACAACATTGCATGACCGCATATATTTAGGAACTGGAATTTTATTGAGATATATAGATTAGATATCACTAAAACATAATTCTGTGCAATAATAATGTAGTATATTAATCTCTACAGAATTCTTTTCCAGCTAGGCCTTGGTAGTCAAATTCCACAGGACTAAGAGTACTCAGAACGATTTTTCCATTTGCATGGCCACTAGCAACAATGTCTAGCTCTGGTTGTGGATATAAGTCAATGCATTTTGCATAGCTGTTGATTGTAATAGAGGAGATCAGCTCAGCCACAGAATGCTCCGAGATTTGCAAATCTGTTGAGAAAAGATAAACATAAGAGATAAACATCAAGACAAAACATGAGTTTGACATCTTTGCGAAGCAAACTTACAAGTCTGATCGTTTTCCCGTACACTATTATCTCGCAGTCCGATCTCATAGAGATTCAGTACTGCGTCGCTGTCCCATGTGATAAATCGGTCCGAGTGAAAAGGGGACCATAATATGTCCCACTTAGGACGGCTCATTTTATCCTTTCCGTTTCGTTATCGCGCGCTCCTGACATAAAGTCGCGCATCATCACGTTACTTCACACCCGACGACATCGTGCATCGACGTCGTAACGTTACGTTTAACATGCACGATATGTATCAGAATTAAAATCGTATCGCGTGACGTCCGGCCATATGATCCAGATCATTAGCATGCCAAAAAGAAGTGTAACGAACTTTTCTTTGCCTCGTTGTTTGTGATTGTCCGTCTCTCCGTGAAACATACCCTTTGGGTATTTATGTTTATCGTGCCTCTTAACTTCTCGCAAGAGTTCGAATAAATACTGTACTCTTATTTGTTCTCTGACAACGAATCAAAACAACACTGAGATCTGAGATAAGCAACGGCTGTGTTCGTAGAACAGGATTGATCGAACCAGCGTGAAACGATTTGTGAGCGTAGAATTTCTGAGATAAAGCTTGTTCTACAATACAGTCGGTATCGCGTGCCGCAAGCCACAAGAATTGACCAATCACAGACGAATGTGGAGAGAATACTTGATTGTGATTAGCCCATTCTTACGGTCACGATGCCGACACCCAATGCATTGTAGAACAGGCCTTAAACCGTTGTCACACTCCGTATTACGGACGCGAATCAAGCTACCTCGCCTTGATTGACTAAATTCCGATCCGCATCCGTAATACGTAGTGTGACAACGGCTTTAGACTGATTCTACATTAGTGTCGGTCTACAATAAGTATTTAATCTTTAAACCGTAGAGAAATTGACCAATCATATCGACCAATTATAATCGAATATGAAAAGAATAATCGACTATGATTGATCAATTTCTTACTTCTTAAAGCTTAAATCATCTATTGTGGACACTAATGTAGAATTAGCTTAAAGCCTATAACATATGTTTCTAATCTTCGTGATTATCTGATATTAGCGTGAATACATCCACCGAACTATATTTCATTCTATGTCCATTTCTGTCAATGTATTTAATTAAAATAAATTAAATAAATTAAACAAATTACAATTAAAAATCATTGCTGTCTCCATAACGCTCAGTCTTTGATTGACTCTGCGCTAGTAACCAATGCAAACCGTTTCGTCTGAAATTTCATTGAATTCAATTTTTTCACAAATTTGCACTAGGAAAAAAATGTCACGCTGTATGTACTGAAATATTCCGAATTGAAGATAATAATTTATCGTTTTACTTGCACATCTTGCATTCGTATTTATCGTGGTTTCTTTGTGAAGTAATCTCTAATCGTAATCCTAGGTACACAAGTATCGCCAATCAAAATCTCTGAAAAGCAAAATTTTCCTAAAGGGCTCATGCAACATGGCAGCTGTCATCAAAAACGCGCCGTATCTACGAAAGAACAACACCAATCCACGTGGTTACGTCGCGTTTTATTTTCGATCGCGACGGTAATATAATATTCGAGATGTCTCAAAATAATAACATAAACGTGAAACAATTCAGACTTTGGTGCGATCTGCTCGAAGAAGATCTCAAGATCTTACATCAAGAGAACTAATATCAATAGATACGTAACACTTAATACGTCATGATGAATCTCCCGTCCCTCGTAAAAATACAAAGCTGGCAACACGTGATTAGAGACAAACCGTAGTTGTATTCGTTCTCAATACGAAAGAGAGAGAGAAAGAAGAAGGAAAGATTCATTCCATTGAATCGAGTGAAACTAGGATTCGAATTTTTACGGAATCAAAGTACAAATTCCAAGAATCGAACATGTGATTTCTCCGCGAGATTAGAGTTTCGTCGTGTTATCAGTTATCTCCGTGATTTCGAATCAACTTAGGCTAGTCGAGATTCGCGCGTAGCGAAGCTCGAGAAAAAGAAAAATAGCGAAGCGCCGACGCAAAGTATATAAAAAAAGTGGCAGGTGGAGAAAGAATATATTCAGAGTGGAGGGAATATTAAGAGATACACACACACACACACACACATATATATATAATAGGTGATATACATATTTAAGGCTGCCATGCTTGCTCCCCACCGTGCCCTCCAGTCGTACGCACATTTCATAAGGACTATACACTCGCTACAGTCGGCTAGTTACCACGGTGTCACATCACCATCATCGTCATCGTCCTCACTCGAATCCGATTGTCATCATCGTCATCATTTATTGCGAAATCCGTCTTCGACAGAACCGCTCGCAAAGATCCTCAGCGCTTCGTTCACGACAATGGCAAAAATAAAGGTAAATAATAATGGAGAAATTATCCGCTCCGAAACGAAGGTTTCATTCCGAATCCGTTAAAAGGAGACGGCTTTTGAAACCAGTATAACAGATTTCGCGAATGCCACGGTGGAAGGGCGTGAGAAAGTGGACTTTGCACACTGAGATGTCTTAACTTCTTTTTTTTTTTTTCTTTAATTTGGATGCGAAATCATTGTTAATTATAAAATGTATGAGAACTTTTTCCTTAGAGATCAAGACGTTTAAATTTGCACTACAATTTGAAAATATTCTAAAAGGGACATGTTCTTTTCTAATTAACATTAATTCATAAAATAAAATTGAAGTATGAAAAAGACTAAAAAAAGAAAGATTTTTTGAATATTATACAATTTTTAGGCAGGCCCAGTCGTCGACATTCTTGGCGATGAGATGACACGTATCATATGGGATTCGATCAAAGAGAAACTCATCTTGCCCTACTTAGACATTGAGATGCATACATATGACTTGGGTATTGAAAATCGCGACGCCACGAATGACAAAGTGACAGTGGAATGCGCCGAGGCGATCAAACGTTACAATATTGGTATTAAATGCGCCACTATTACACCTGATGAAAAACGCGTGGAGGAATTCAAACTAAAACAAATGTGGAAGAGTCCAAACGGCACCATCAGGAACATCCTGGGAGGTACAGTATTTCGCGAGGCAATCATTTGCAAGAACATACCGCGTTTAGTGATTTGCTGGAAGGAACCAATCATCATTGGCAGACATGCACATGCTGATCAATACAAAGCCACAGATTTTGTGGTGCCAGGTCCAGGAAAACTGGAGATTACATGGACCGGGACTTCTGGCGAGCAGATCCAGCATATCGTCCACGATTTTAAGGGTCCTGGTATCGCCCAGGCTCAATACAACACTGATGAGAGCATTCGCGCCTTTGCTCATAGTTCATTCCAATATGCGCTATCACGTAATTATCCACTATATCTGTCCACGAAGAACACGATTCTCAAGAAGTACGATGGTCGCTTCAAGGACATATTCCAAGAGATCTATGATAAAGAATATAAACAGCAGTTCGAAGCAAAGAAGTTATGGTATGAGCACCGGCTGATTGATGACATGGTGGCGTACGCTATGAAGTCCGATGGTGGCTTCGTATGGTCTTGCAAGAACTACGATGGCGACGTGCAATCAGACTCGGTAGCACAGGGCTATGGCTCTCTGGGCATGATGACGTCTGTCCTCGTGTGCCCGGATGGTCGCACGATTGAAGCCGAAGCTGCTCATGGTACTGTCACACGTCATTATCGTCAACACCAGCAAGGCAACGAGACATCCACTAATCCGATTGCCTCCATTTTTGCATGGACTCGTGGTCTACTGCATCGTGCCAAGCTTGATGATAATGCGAAGCTAAAACACTTTGCCGAAACACTGGAGAAAATCTGCGTCGATACCATTGAATCTGGTTATTTTACCAAGGACCTCGCCATTTGCATCAAGGGCATGAACAATGTTACCAGAGCCGATTATTTGGAAACATTCGAGTTTATGGATAAACTCGCCGAGAATCTAAAGAAGCAGCTTGACGCGTGACTCGCCGGCGATGACGAGGAATGTAGCCTACGAGCCAAGTATTAAGTTGTCATTCGCATTACAGCAAGAGGAAGGAAATATCTATGTGGTTACGGGAAAAAGATTCAGCTTCAATGAGACATGATATAGATAATATATATAACATATAATATATTTGCATATATATAAGATTATACTACAATTAAATTTTATTTGGTGTGCGCCGCTCTCGATTCATCTTATTTATCTGATGGGGCGTTAATCAGACCATGTATTTCGTAAAATGTTGTGAAGAACCGATTTTTCTCGATGGCTATGAAATACAAAAAGCTGATAATGATATGATAATGATATGAGATAATGATATTTGCTAAGGATTGGATCAATTGTTCAACTCGGCTAAATAATCGAAATAATATAAATTATCATCAGTCATAGTGGCATTTTAGAATTTATACATCACTACAAATATAGAATAATTTAACAAAGCAGACGAATTTAGCACTGGTCTATTAGGGAACACAAAATGAGTTGTGCAAATAATTGTATAGATTTTTAAACTTAAACTTTTTTTTAATCTTTATTATTTTAAAACTTTATATACTGACGTTACAGATATATACATAATGAATTACTTTGTATCAGAATCTAATCGCATTATATTGAGATATTATGTATTATAAATGTTGCATCTTGAATAATATAGCATTGCACTCTTTGAAAATCATTTTTGAAAAAAATTGCATTGCGTGATCTATCGCGTAGGAAATAACAACTTCGTAATCAGTAACAGTCGTTATCAGCTATCAGCTCTCACGATTACTTAATTTCACTCGTTTTACGAATGAACGTAAAGCTCTGTCAAAATAACAATTTTCATTTTGTTGCAATTCGAACGAAAACGAAGCATTATCTTTAATAGCTTGAATTTATGCGATTACACAACGAGCAATTTATACTTGTGATTCTAGTTTTTGCATTATTGGCAAGAAATGCGAACAAGGACATTGACGTATAAAAGCAATAATTATCATAGAGATTAATATATCTATTCAAATCTGACGAAGTAAAAGATTCTTGAATGAACATCAACTAATGTCTATTTGTATAAATATAGATTTAATTTCAGGTTAATCTACTATTTATCTTTTTTTTAATTTTAAAAGTTAGAAAAAATAAATAGATTAAATCGGAATTAAAATTAAGACATTGATAGAAATGGATATAAAAACCGCTTTGACAAAACTCTGATGATTACTCAGCTAAACTACTCAGCTAACATTCCTTGCATGTAAATTTGCACGTATTATACACCTTGTACAAGGTTTGCTCGACCTTTGTGGAATATTTTCATTGTACATATTACACACAAGTGGCATGAAAAAAATGTCACAAAGTTTGCTGGCCATTTGCTGTTTTTATGATGCACTGGAATAAGGTTTTGTTTGCATATGTGTAACATAATGGATATTTGCGCGCAAAATGTTTTCTGAGTAATGAAATAATTCGCTATTCTATTAATATGAACAGAATTATTAATTTCTTGTCTTAAACACGTATTTGTTAGTTACTCATCATTTGAAAAAGAAATTACAAATAATGAATTGTACAATTGGAAATTTTGTCAGAAATGATTTTCTAGCAATTAAGTTAATTAAAAAAAAAATGATAATCATTCGTTTTAGAAAAGTTAAAAAATAAAATAAAATGCACAAAAACTTCAATTTTAAAATCTTCAAAACTGGACAAAAGATCTAATTATTCGCTTCATTATCTTATGATCTTATATTTCTTCTTCGCTTCTTTATCTTATGATTATGATTAATTGAAGTTTTATAGTATTTTTACAAACAATTTAATAATTATTTTACCAATTCATTCATTTATTTTGTTCTTCCATATAAATAAATAAATCTTCCTAATTCTTTAAAAAGCAGATACAACTTTTTCCAAATTTTTAATTATAATTTAATTATCGGCATAATGTTAATATAATTTTCAGAAACCAATTAGTTTAAATACATAAAAAAATATTTAAATATTTCAATCTGACACTACTACTTTTTATCTAACGTGAATATCAGTAAAAAAGGTCCGCACTAATTAACCTGATGGATTCATCGACCTTTGAAATCTTTTATAAATTATTCATACACTGTACAAAAGTTCGAATTCATGTTTATGTAACTCTCACCATGCGCATAAACAATAATCAGGTATATTAATACACCCGGTATATCGAGGGTGTTTACATATCATCAGATGATAAATGGAATGTACGTCGATATTATTGATGAATTATTTTACCGACATCGCGAATGACCTATTAATTTTTATAATATGCGGAGTATAAAGTTTAAAAATTCATTAATTCTAGAAAAAATATTATGTGGTGATAAACTGAAAAAACGTAGGCTTTAAAAAAAGGAATTAGTCTCAAATAATAGATAATTAGAAAGGATTTAGTCTAAAATCGTGGTTTGTTCAGTCACCCGTTAGTTTTGACTTCCATCATCGAGAAAACTGTTCTCGCCATTTCTCTGTCTCGTGCATCGAATATTACATAATCGTCTCGATTTATCTCCACGGATCTCTTCCCGATTACAAAATTACAAGATAAATATTTTCTTATAAATCGGATCTAATAATTAAGTTACTGATTCGTTTAATTCTGTCATCTTTGTTGACCCTCGTAAGCATAATGTTAATTGCAGCACGCTAACAGTCAGCAAAATATTCAAATTCTGCAGAATATCGCGGCATATTAACATCGGCCTTAGGCTCGCATTCCGTCGACATAATCTAACAACAGACCACCAGCAGAAATCTTCGTAATCATTTAAATGGCTACGGAATGAGACAGATTTTGCTGCATTTTCGTAGTCAACCTGCCATGATGTTTCTGCTTTTCTACCGACTCGAGGTCGACTTGGTAAAATCTGCTTTCGATATATCTGACCGTCCGAGATCGTTATCGGATTCAGCGGACCCAACTTGACCTTGTCACGACATTTTACCCAGGTTATCCAGGGTTAACTGTCTTTGAGTTTTTCTTCTCTTTCGAGTTTTTTTCATCGCTACGCGCATCCGGTTTCGTTGGCGGCGCTGGTCCTTCCCGATCACGCGTGCACGCGCGTCTCCGCCAGCAGGTAAGAGGCGCACACGCGTTTGCGTAACGCCCCAGCTGCTCTACACACGCACACGTCGAACGTTGTTATCGCGTCTGTCGCGCAACCGCCTCGCTCGTAAAGGTCGCCTCTTCCGAGGCGACGTCCGTCCGCGCGATGTGACGTGCATGGCTCGCGCGACGTACAACGTCAGAAAAGAGAGATCCAAATAATACGAAATGCGAAACTCCCATACTTAACCTTTGATACGGGGAATGAGAATACCCCCCCCTCCTTCGCCCCTTCCCCGCCGCTTCTGCACAGGACAGCGCGATATTCTTGCGCTTGCGGTCTCTCGCAATTACAAAAGACATTCGCAATTGTAATTCGCGATGGTAATTATTTCACGCCTTAAATTGTATTCCGAATGATGAATTCCGCTCTTCGCGTTTTGTTTCCCTCCTCCGCGTTACTTGCGAAATAATTGCACGAAGAAGATACGTGTATCATATCATATGTTTGCGTGGCTGGTTGCCGGCACGAATGCGCGAGGCATCGCCGCATCTCCGTTTCCTATTTTAATCACGTAGGATGTTTGAAGGATGATTGTAAGTAAACGATAATCACCGCCGGCGGAAATCGTCGGCTCCGGATCGGGCCCGGACACCCTGTATATAAACGCGCCTCGTTCCGTCCCAGTGGAGGAAGCGATATCGGGTGCTTTCCATTTAGTGACACAAGTCGACACAAATATCATTTTGTCCTTGTTAATCATTGAAAGCCAAGAAAGATAGAACGATACTTGTGTCGACTTGTGTCACTAAATGGAAAGTACCCATCGTCGAGGCCTGCAACTTTGGTATGCCGACACTTCCGAGGGATTTTGCTCTTGACTCGCGAGACCGCGAATCTGTCCGGCGGCGGACGCGATTCCACCGAGACCGAAAAGTAGGCGACCCTGAAAAGCAGGTGGCGAGGAGGCGCAGCTATTGCGTGGGTTCGCGAGGAGGGAAGAGAAAATTAGCGGTAATAACGCAGCGAGCGATACGAGACGTGACCGAGGTAAAAAAACGGCACGACTCCCATCGGGAGCAAAGGTGGTTTCTCGAGATGAGAATAAGACACGGGGACGGCGCACGAGATAAGCAATATAATAGATGGTTCTCGAGGCGAGGAGAGAAGGAATCAAAAGAAATTTGTAAATGGAATAGGGAAAAGGCAGAGCCCGATACTCCGAGCGATCGGATACTTCCTCGGGATGGTTGATCCGCTGGGATCTTTGTTGTATAATTAGAGGGCACCACTAGAATGATGTTTTCGAACACCCGCTTTTGCACGACAAGAATAGCTTCTCCTCCGAGAAGGATCTTCGCTCCGGACCAAGGGTCCTTTTCAATAAAACCGGGGGAAAGGATGAAGATATATCGGGAAAAAGAACTCGTTGAAGACAACAACGCACTTCTTCCGGGATATAACCGGAATTGCAGATGGCGCCCGGCTTGCGGGCACCTCGCCATCGCCGTCGCCACCGCTGATCGAGTCGACCGAACACAGGGGCGCGGTAGAGGGGCGGGGGAGGGAAGGGGCTGCGCCCGTTCGCCTTCTCGTAGTCATCCTACGATTCGCCATCCGCTTCGTCGGCCAGTGCTGACGCCGACGACGAAGGAGCGATATTCGCGATCGAAGCCGATAATCGGAGAGAACGGAAGAGCTCAGAGCGCGGCGAGAGCGCGAGCCGGAGCGGGGGTGAAGGAGACCGAGGGAGGGAAGAAAGAGAGGGAGAGACATAGAAAGAGAGAAGTGGGGTAAGGGAGAGCTAAGAGGAAGAGAGGCGGCTAGGGTGTCGCAACGACGATCTTTTTCGTGCCACTGTCAATATTATTCAGACAGAATCGACGCGATGTATATAAACGGACGAAAAGACAGATAAATAGACGAACGGACGGATTAGTGAATCCTCGGAGGGGCCTTTCTGACTGACTACTCCATTGGCCGACCGTCGATCGTTGCTGATGACGCGACACTAATATTGTCGCCGCTAAAGCGGTCGCGCATGATAGTAGCGAGATAACCTGCCACGAGAGATTTCACCGCCACGGACGGCGGCGCATGTGGCACGCACAGACGACGAAGGTTTGTTTTCAATTAGACGTCGTCTCGTGACGGACGACGGCTCGCGCGACGGCAGTATTCGCGGGCTATTAATAATATACACTCCGCGCGGCGGCGAACCGTTGACCTCGTCGACAATCGGAGGCATACAAGTACGCGGGGCGTGGAGAAGACGTGGGGAAAACTCGGCGCGGTTCCGATTCCGGGAGCAAGAAAACGGCGAGCGTTTCCGACGTTTTCTTCGAGGAAACCACGGCTTCGCAATATGGCCGCCTTCGATTGATCCCTTCGTTCTCGATTCTCTCTTTTTTTCTTTCCGTTTCTCCCTTTCTTCGTTCACGACTCCGCCTGGAAGAGGAACGGATCGCGATCCGAAGGTGATCGACGGTGGAACCGCCGTTCGTGAGGATCGATCGCGCTGGGCTCGTCATCCGACGACGATTCCTTCGCGTCGATCCGAACGATGCTCGCGCGCGCGCGTACACACGCATACACACGCGTGCGGAAGTGTGTGCGCGCGCGCGCGCTCGCTTACTCGCTTACATACGCCCATCGAAGTTTTCCGACCGATTCGTTCTCTCGCGTCCGTTTTCATTTCTCTCCACCGGATATCGTGCCGCGACACGACGAAGTCATAACTGGGCACAATGCGGGCGCATTGAATGGACCTTTCCGCTTCCTTATACAGGGATCTAGAAAGTCACGATGATTTCTTCTAAGAAATTCAACGTCAGTAATCACGCTGTTCGACTACGAGCTTACCTTAGATACTAAACAAGTGTCGTCATTAGATTTTTATTGGACAAAAAAAAAGAAACGTATCTTATCTCAAAGAGAAACGAGATTTGAAGTATATATTTATAATTAAACGATGAAAATTTATTTAATGTACGATCAGTAGATAATGATGACAGACTACAAGGAACCCAAGAGCAGATAAAGTAATTAATTAAATCGCGTTTCTAGAAATCATAGACCACAGTCGAATGGCATATTTAACAAAATTTTTAATGACAGATTATATAACATATCGTAAAATAAAAAGTGTGCTGATATACAATCATAAAAATTATTTACTGTAATAATAATTTTGTTATTCCAGTTTTTTAAATAAGATTTATAAGATACTTATAAATATCAATGATATTAAATTGATCATCCATTTAATAATGTGAATTTGAAATTTCAGCTTTATTTAATTTTCAAGATCGAAAAATAATCGGTGCGCAATTAAGAAAAATGGAATAGAATATAAAAATTCACAAGAAAATAAAATAATTAAACGTAAGATCCCGCAAATAATCATAAAAATCTCATTTATTTATTAATCGTGTTACATAAATAGATATTAGCTCAGTAAACGATAATATCATTATTCACTTATTGAGTATATTTATAGAAATTTTACTTTGATATACAAAAGCATACAAAGGCCCAACGTGTTTAAAGTCGTCTCGCGGATATTCGTGGACCTACCGTGCATCACTGTCGTTCGGGTTCAATTCGCTCAAACGGGATCGCGGATAAAAGCCTCCGTCTCCTCCGCCTCCTCCGCGGCTTCGATATCGCGGCAGCGTCGGGGTTAATCATGGCGCCGCGCGCGACACGCCGACGTTCCTCCGTGGCCGTGGGAGCCACTTTACTAAATTCGATCTATGCGTGATCGCATAAACTAATAGCGATTCTCTTTTCGAACGACTTAGATCCGCGACGATTAGATCGTCGACGATGCGTCCTTCTCAGCTGTGCTACCTGTGCCACTCCCCTCCCACTCCCGCTCCTAAGACACGCTTCCTTTTAAGCGCCGAAAGAAGGAGAAACGGTCCTAAGCGACACGAATGTTATCGACAGCTACGATTGATGTTTGTTTCCACCAATATATAGATTAAGTTTAATCTCATTTTAATTACTCCAATTTTTTCTGACGCTTAGAACTAGAAGAGAAGATAAAAAATAAATTAAACCGGGATTAAATTAATCTGCTTATTGGTGGAAATGAGAGGACATGAGAGATATCGATCCGTAGATCGAGACGCGGTCGTCGAACGGACGGATGTCGTCGGTGTTGGAGACGCGGCCATATTTATCCCTTGTTCGTACAGCGAGATATCTGGAGCGGAAGAGGAACGTGGAACGTTGGAGTATCGACGTCGCGTTGGAGGTCCGCGCGTCTATTTTTCTCCCCTCCATCCTGCGCTTTTCTTGCACCTTTCCGCGAGATTCCTCGTGACGAGGAACGTGCGTAGGATGTAGGTGTCTGAATTTTGAGGAAAGCGCAAACGGCCATCTCACGCTGTTTCGAGAATCCGGAAAATCTTAGGGATCACGCTAGAGATTGGAGGGAAGAGGGGGAAGTCGTGAGGCCGACATTGACGTTGTGATTTTGTGAATGCCTTTGCGGATTTCGTATGGCTCGACATTTTTTTCGAGACGGTCGCGATCGCGGTCGTGACATCGCGTCACCGATCGCGTCAGGAACGAGATGGCGAACGATGACTCCCGACGACCTGCCGACTAACCGGGATCTCTTTCTCGTTTCGGGACGGAGAAACTTAATGATCCGCAATACGCTCCTGCTTGCACACACTGTCCGATAGATCCGGCCTCGTGGCTTCGCGATTAGAGTGGCGGCGGCAAAGGAGGAGGTAAAGGAGGAGGAGGAGCAGAGAGACAGAGGAAGAAAAGGAAAAAAAAAAGGAGATCGAACGCGAGGCTGAGAAACGCGCAGCGGTCGGTGGACCACGCGTGGGAACCGAATTGATCTTTTCATGAGATTTTCCAAATTCTACCGTTGGTGGGGAAAAAAAGAGAAAAAAGAAAATTGGCGAACCACCACCGCCGCCACTACACCATTGCCACTGCCGCGTGTCTGCGTGTCGCCTCCATCGTGAGGAGACGTACGCAGGCTGAGGCAGATAGACACGCACATCCGGTCGGACCGTACTTCCGTAATCGGAATTTTTTTTCAGGTTTTACTCGCGTGCCTACAACGACGACGACGACGGTAAAAGACTGAATTGTTATTGCGATCCAACAATAGTACAATGGAAAAGACAGCCCAGCATGACCGGCGCATTATTGGCGAGTCGCGGTATCGCTCCGATAAAAATTTTTAATCGCTCTTGGCTTTTACAAGAGAGCGATCGGACGGACGTTCAAGGCGTTCACAACGAAAGCGTCGTCGCCCCGTAGTGCCGTGCGACGCGTGAATGCGCCAGCAGCAGCAGCAGCAGCAGCAGCAG